TGTATGAGTTTCAGTTGCACAATTGCTTTGTGCGTTGATGTTTTCTTTGTTTTTTTTTTTTTTTTTTTCTTTCCCCTTCCCCTACCTTACTTTTTGTGTTCTTGTTTGTACTTAGGTGTACAGAACCAATCAGTGTGCTGGCGAGTTTGTTGTGACATTTCCTCGTGCCTATCACTCCGGATTTAACCAGGGTTACAACTTCGCTGAGGCTGTGAACTTCTGCACTGCTGACTGGGTCTGTTCTGTTGCACATATCTGTCATGTCCCTGTTAGCAGCTTAATACAGGAAAGATTTAGTTACTTAGTTTAGATGGGTCATTATCTTGACTATTGAAGCAGTGCCTGGCATAGCTATAGTTAGAGATTAGTCAAGGTTTTTATATCAAAAAGTTAATTTGAGGGGCTTATAATTTAATCCTTCTAGATGAAAAGTTAAGATTCTAGTTGAAAGTTAAGTGCAGTCACCCTTTTAAGCAAGTAACTCAGCATTTGAGACTTGGGTTAGCTTTAGGGTTGCAAAGATTTTTCTTAAACTTTTTGTCCTCTCTGCTTTTATGTGGGGTAATGCTGTTGTATGGTAGAGGTTTAATTTTGATTTTGGTGTCCTTCACTCTTCTCTCCATGTCAGTTTTTTCAGTTCTTAATTGCATATGTGCTTTTGAAGTCATCTTCTTCACAATGCCCAAACATATCAAGAAACGGACATAAGGGTTACTTCAGTAGTTTAGTGATATTGGTGAATGCTCTACCAGTGACTATAGGGCTACATTTACAGAGTAGGAATCACATTCCCATTTTGTGCACACTCTTCCCAAGGTCAGATGACTTTAACTGTTCCCACTACAACCCTTTTAATGGCTTATAAATTGAGACTTATAATTTAGTGGGGTTCCTGGACATTGACTGGAGATGCTCTTTCCAGGATTACAGTATTTTCTAGTCTTGTTCCAAAAGTTATATGCAGGCTAAATGACTGGTATAGGCAAACAACTGCTGAATTCAGACTAGTAAAATGAGATTCCTTTGCTTAACTCCAGAAATCCACTGGCCAACTCTCTTAGCTTCTTATGTATTTATTAAAAAGATGTATAGCTTCTTCTGGATTCTGGAAACCTGCCGTTTGATTATTGTGGTACAGTTATGACTACTATAGTGCCTGCAGGAAGACAGTTGACTATTCTTTAGCATGTATTTTTGAGTGTCACCTTTTCCCTACCTCTTGTTAAGGGAAGTAAAGTAGGAAACAGCTTTTTGCAGCCCTTCCCCCCCACTCCACTCCAGTGACGTAAGTTGGGGGTTGGCAGTCTTTTACTAACAGCTGGCCGGATTAACACAATTTGATCCTTAGGAGGGTTGGGCAACAGGTCAACCCCCTGTCGAAATGAATGGGTAGGGATCTCTGGAATTCACACAGGAAGTGCATAGTGCAGCGGCTTCTTTAATTTTGGAGTTTCTCCTGCGTGCCCCACCACCGCTGATTGGCATTAGGGACCTTACCACAACAGTGTTCGCCTCCCAGCCATCAGGCACAAGTGGTGAGCACGACCCCTCTGCCAACTGGTGGTAGGGGAATGTGCAGTGGAAACTCCAAGATGAAAGAAGATGCCATGCTGTGTACTTGCGGCGCAAATTCTGGAAATCCCTATGAATGGCATCGACCTGTTGTCCTGATTTAAAATAGCTCTGTGGGCTGATTGGTTGCTTAGGTGGGACTTAAAGATTTCTGATCAGGTATCTTTCTTTTTGAGATCCTGCTACGATCTTGGAGCTCCCCTGGATTCTTTACTGCCCAGTCAGACCTAGCCTGCTTTCCACCCACCCAAGTCCTCAGAAGCTTCTGCCAGCCTTGAACACCACAGGCATAAATCTGACCAATTTCTTGCCCTCTGTTGGGTTGCCATCTCTTGACCTAGGTGGTTCTCATCCTTTTCTAGCTTCCCATTGGGCGTCAGTGTGTGAACCATTATCGACGGCTAAGGCGTCACTGCGTTTTCTCCCATGAGGAGCTGATCTTCAAGATGGCAGCGGATCCAGAGTGTTTGGATGTGGGACTTGCTGCCATGGTTTGCAAAGAAATGACTTTGTTGATAGAGGAGGAGACACGCCTGAGGGAATCTGTTGTACAGATGGTGAGTACCATAAATACTCCTTCCTTTCATCCTATTTATGTGATTCGGGTTTTATATGAGTTTTGTGAAAGGCAGTTTGCTTGTCGTTATCAAGTGTCACTTTTTTGTTAGGGAGTGTTGATGTCAGAAGAGGAGGTATTTGAACTGGTTCCAGATGATGAACGTCAGTGTACAGCCTGCAGAACTACATGCTTCCTTTCCGCTCTTACTTGCTCTTGTAATCCTGAGAGGCTTGTGTGCCTGTACCATCCCACAGACTTGTGTCCCTGTCCTATGCAGAAGAAGTGTCTAAGGTTTGTAAGTCTCCATCTCTCCCATACCATGTCTAATCTGTTGTATGAAGGCCAGTAGCTAAATACAGCTGTTGTCCAAGCCAAAAACAATATCTTTAGTCATCTCATGTCCTATTTTTTCCCCTGAAACAGAAAAGTCTGGGTTGATGCAGGGATTTTTTCTTATAAACCTCGTGTGGTGGATTCTGAAAAAAACAGTTTCCCTTGTCTTATATGAACTTATAACACTCACATATTTTTTCCTTCTGTTTATTTCCAGGTACCGTTACCCATTAGAGGACCTTCCTTCTTTGCTGTATGGAGTAAAAGTTAGAGCACAGTCCTATGACACTTGGGTCAGTAGAGTTACAGAGGCTCTGTCTGCCAACCTCAACCACAAGAAAGGTCAGACTTCTATTGTTCATTGTAGGTATTTGCATAGGGAATCCCAGCCTTCATTTAGGCCACTTGTGTAGTGAGACTGATGCTGGAGTACTGGAGTGGGTTATGGTTGGTATTTTAATCATATGAGAGGAGGGATGTTCTTGGTGAAGGTCAGGGAATCTAAAGTAACTGTAAGGCTAGATGGGTATACTACATTGTTGTTCATTTCTCTTCAAGCATATTAGGAACTTGTTTGAGGACTAGTAAGCAGTTTGAAAGGATTTTTTTCCATGTATGGACTATTTATTTGTATTTTATTATTGCAGATGTGATTGAGCTGAGAGTGATGTTGGAAGATGCTGAAGACAGGAAGTATCCAGAGAATGATCTGTTCCGTAGGCTCAGAGATGCTGTGAAAGAGGCAGAGACCTGTGCTTCAGTGGCTCAGCTACTTCTAAGCAAAAAACAAAAACACAGGTAAGGTTGAGAGTTTTCAGTTTTGTAAAAGTTAAAATATTGTTTTGTAAAGGTAAAAGTAGTTAAAAGTGAAGTTTAATACACTAATGAAACTTTAAGCATTGTGGACTAAGCACACAATGGCAGTGGGTAACAGCTTAAATATACCAAATGAAACATTTTTTTAAATGTTGCTTGGGTTGTAAAATCAAGTGTTTCAGTTAAGAAACAACAAATGTTTAGTTCTCCACACAGGCTGAAGTCTTTTTCTTATGTGTCTATCCTGTGGAGAGAACATGATCTTGAAATTAGACTGCCACTATGCATTCAGGCAAAGACACCAAATTATGATTACATAAGCAGTCTGACATTTAATTTGTACGTGTTTGACTTTGGAACCTAAATATTAATGTAATGTAGTTTTTTTTCTGCATAATGTTTCAAGTGGGTTTTTTTGGTTTTGTTTTGTTTTTTTAAATCTTTTAAATGAGTAGAGCCAACAGTATTTAAAATCTACCGTGCCTGAAAGACTGTTATATTTGCTGCTGATGTGCATGACCATATGGTATTTGTAATTCCTTTTCTTTGTGCAGAGACATCTAGTGATGCCTGTTTTAAATTATTTTAAATACAAAGGTCTATGTGAAATGTCTTACTCTCGGGACTAGTCTGTCCCTGTGTCAAAACAAGTTTTATCAAGTTTTACCACTCTAAGAAATAAGACCTTCTGGCTCTTGAGACCTTGTGTTGCTTCAAGCACTCTCAACCTTCTGATCATCCCTCCTCATGTGAGTTTAATCCTACAGCCTGAGCCAAGAAAGAATAATATTTTCCAGGTGGTCCTTGGCATGGTTTGTGTCTAAACACTGACAGAGAAGGCCAAGAGTTCCTTATCAAACTTCCTTGAAACATCATTGGTACCATGAGTCTTCAGGGATTGGAAATTATCTTCCATATTAGTTGCACTCTGTGTTCTACACTTTTTGATCCACATCACTCCTCTGTACAGTTCTCATCAGTACTGCATTTTTACAAGGATGTCTGCTGGAACTCTACTAGCAGTATTATTGATCATATGCTGTTTCTGTTTGTTATACCTCCGTGGACCACTAACATTACTTTTACAGCTTCCATAGATGTTACTGTTTTCCTGGAATATAAGTTTTTGTTGTAGTATCTCTCCTTCTTAGTTTGTAGTTTCCAGAACTTTTGCCAGTACCAGAGGTAAACATTTCTCTGCTATCCTTTGTAATACTAGTAACTACCACTCATACTGTCCAATCTGAGGCCCCTCCTGTATCTATACCTTAAGCACTGGCTGCATTAGAAGAATGTTTTAATCTGCCACATCTTTTTCTCCCTGAGGAGATCTGTGCCTTTTCTGAAAGTGGTTTTCTAGAAGTTGGCTTCATTCCTTGGTCTCTGCTTTTGTGGTACCATTTAACATTCCTCCTTGCATTCTGTTCAGATTTGTATCCAGCCTTTGGATTTTTCTGTTTCAAGCATCTAGTTTGAAATTTGCCTTAGAAGCACTGGGGACTTGTAGTCAACTTTGGCTGTACACCTGGACTTCAGAAAAGCAGACTTTGACTCCCTCAGGGAGCTGATGGGCAGGATCCCCTGGGACACTGGTCTGAGGGGGAAAAGTCAAGGAGAGCTGCTTGTATTTTAAAGAAACCTTACTGAGGGTGCAAGAACAAACCATCCCGATGTGCAGGAAGAATAGCAAATGGGGCAAGTGACCAGCTTGGCTTAGTAGAGATCTCTTTGGTGAGCTTAAACACAAAAAGGAAGTTTACAAGAAGTGGAAGCTTGGACAGATACTTTGGGAGGAGTATAAGGTATTGCTTGGTCATGCAGGGATGAAGTCAGAAAGGCCAGAGGACAACTGGAGTTGCAGCTAGCAAGGGACATGGAGGGCAAGAAGAAGGGTTTCTACAAGTATGTTAGCAACAAGAGGAAGATCAGGGAAAATGTGGGTCCTTTACTAAATGGGGAAAGCAACCTAGTGGCAGATTATAAGGAAATGTCTAATATTCTCAAAGCCTTTCTTACCTTGATCTTCACAGGCAAGGTCAGCTCCCAGACTACTGTACCGGGCAGCACAGTTTGGGGAGAACATGAAAGCCCTCAGTGGTGAAAGAACAGGTTAGAGACTGTGTAGAAAAGCTGGATGTGTGCAAGTCCATGGGGCCAGATGCAGTGCATCCAAGGTTGCTGAGAAAGTTGGCTGATGTGTTTGCAGAGCCACTGGTTATTATTTTTGAAAACTCGTGGTAATCAGGGGAGGTTCCAGACTATTTGAAAAGGGCAAATATAGTGCCCTTCTTTAAGAAAGGAAAAAAGGAGGATTCAGAAAACTATAGATCAGTCAGCCTCATCTCAGTCCCTGGAAAAATCATGGAGCAGATCATCAAAGAATCCATTTCTAAGCACTTGGAGGAGAAGAATGGAATTAGGAACAGTCAGCATGGATTCACCAAGGGCAAGCTATGCCTGACCAACCTGATTGCTTTCTATGATGAGATGACTATCTCTGTGTATGCAGGGAAAACAGTGAATGGGATATACCTTGACTCTAGCAAGGATTTTGATACATTGTCCCACAGCATTCTTGCCAGCAAGCTGAGGAAGTATGGGTTGGATGAATGGACTGTAAGGCAGATAGAAAGATGGCTGTATTGTTGGGCTCAACAGGTAGTAATCAGTGGCTCAATGTCTAGCAGGCAGCCAGTATCAAGTGCCCCAGGGATTGGTTCTGGTGTTGGTTTTGTTCAATATCTTCATTAACTATTTGGAAAATGGGATGGATTGTACCTTCAGCAAGTTCACGGATGACATCATGCTGAGGGGTGTAGTATAACAGTGGAGGGTAGGGCTAGAATTTAGAGTGATTCTAGACATAATGGAGGGCTGGGCTGAAAGAAATCTCATGTGGTTCAGCAAGGACAAGTGCACAAAGTCCTGCACTTAGGACGGAAGAATCCTATGCACCACTACAGCCTGGGGACTGACTGGCTAAGCAGCAGCCCTGCAGAGAAGGACCTGAGGGTTACAGTGGATAATAAGATGGATACGAGTCAGCAGTGTGCCCTTGTTGTCAAGAAGGCTAACAGCATACTGGGCTGCATTAGTAGGAGCGTTGCCAGCAGATTGAGGGATGTAATTATTAGGCTGTATTCTGCACTGGTGAGGCCACATCTGGAGTACTGTGTCCAATGTTGTGTTCCCCCATCCTCCCCTACTATAGAAAGGAGGTGGAAAAGTTGGAGAGAGTCCAGTGGAGAGCAATGAGAATGGTTCAGGGGCTAGGGCTTGGGGGGAGAGGCTGAGGGACCTGGGTTTTAATCTGCAGAAGAGAAGACAGAGGGGATTTGGTAGTAGCCTTCAGTGACTCAAAGGGAGGTTCCAAAGAAGATGGAGCTAGACCATTCTCAGTGGTAACAAATGTCAGAACAAGGAGCAGTGGTCTCAGGTTGCAGCAGGGGAGGTTTAGGTTGGATATTAGGAAAAACCTTCTCACTAGGAGGGTGGTGAAGCACTGGAACAAGTTACCAAACGAGGTGGTGGAATCTCCATCCTTGGATGTTTTTAAGATCCAGCGTGACAAAGCCCTGGCTGGAATGATCTAGTTGTGGATGGTCCTGCTTTGAATAGGGAGTTGGACTAGATGACCTCCTGAGGTCCCTTCTAACCCTAATTTTCTATGATTTTATGATCATCTGGGGTGGTTTAAATCTTCCCTCGCTATCCATCTTATGTTAGGCTAAATTCACACATTTGCAACAATTAAAGACTGGTCTCTACCCAAATCTTGAATGGTGGTGCTTTACCTGCTGTGATGAATCTTCCATTTGAACCTGATGTTTGTATTACTTCTCTACTAAAATGATTTGATAGGCATCACATTGTATAGATGCTGAGCAATATTAACATTTGGGCTGGCCATCCCTTTATTCTGAACCATGACTTGGGTCGCATCTAAAATTATTACTAAATATGGTTTTGAACTGTCATAAACATTAATTTATTCAATTAAGCTATTCTTCATAAGCCTAATGTCTCTCCTGGGAACAATAAACTCCATGCAGTGGATGTTCTAAAGACCATCATTCTTTTGTTCCAGAACAAAGCCTCTTTGTAAATCACTCTTTGTAAATTTTCCTTTCATACCATGCACCTCCAAATAAGACCTGCATCTTATTTTTGGGAAGGTGGAATGAAGAAAAAATATTGTTCCAGAGTGTTGGCTGCATAGAGCAGAGGCAGAGTCTGATCTTCAGCTTGCTCACCCTCAGCAAGAAACTCAAAACTGTAGCTGTCGCTGAAGACTGGTCATCAGGGGTGAATCTATGGATTTGAAACACAAACCCCCCCCCCCCCCCAAATCCTCTCTAGAGCTGTGAAAAAGGATGAGAGACCAGATGTAGCTAGCTGACAGCAAATTTGCCAGAAGAAAGTTTAGCTTGATTAATAGAACATCACGACTATTAAAAAGGAGAGAGAGTCGTTAACACCTGTGAAGTGAGGAGTAGTGAGGCATCAAGTCAATAGACTCCCTCAACTGCCTGAATAGAAATGCCACTGCTGCTGCAGGGTAGTTGGTTTTAAACTTTGGGTGGAGGAGGTATCAAAGTGGGGTACTTCCCTTCTGGGCATAAAATCAACTTTTCTGCTTATGGTATGAACCCCAGTTTTGGACGTCTAATTTTTGGGGGACATGTGGTGTGTGAATAGATACCAGACCTAGACTGATAGCTTTCCATAAAGAGTCAAAGGAGCTTGCTCAGCAACTTATTAAATGGGTGATAAACAATGTTAAAATTTTCTGTTGTTTGAATAAACTACCTCCTTCCTCTTGCTTTAAGGCAGGCTTGTCTAACATATGGCCCGTGGGCCACCATGCAGCCCTCCAAGCTGTTTTCTGAGGCCCAAGGTGCTGCAACTGGAAACGAAAGTAAACACTACGTTTGTTTCGGGGGGGGGGGGGGACGGGATACCGTTTCCTGTGAGGCCTTTGAATATGGCTCACCGGCCCACTGGGTGATAAAAAAGTTCATGATTCAGACCCACATTAAAAAGGTTGGACACCCCTGCTTTAAGGCATACTGTGTTTAGGCCCTTTTTAATATCAGTGGCTTGTCTCAGTGGAGTGTTTCTCTGAAACCTGTAAAAAAAGCCATATGTGAAGTTTAATTAATAAATTTACATTTAACTTACTCCATTCTGGCAGCTTCTGGATCAAATGCCTAGTTCAAGGGCTGATCTCCTGAGACTCCTACTTTAGTGGTACCTGCTAGTTATTCACCTGCTGTAGACTTAGTGTGGACAGGTGGGCAAAGAAGGCCAGTGAGATGTATTAGACCACATGCAACCATCTTCATTCTCTGCCAGTGCAGAGTCCTTTTTTGAGTTTCTGTTTTAGGGAAGGCACTTAGTGATAGGTTGGGCTGTTTCTGCTTTTTTTACCCTTGCTGTGATGTCAGAGAGACAGCATAGGGTGCGTGTCCAGCCCCAACAGACACTGTTGGTAAAAAAAAAAAAAAAAAAAAAAAAAAAAAAAGTTCTGGGTTTATGTGCTTAAGATGCTTTTGTCAATTCCCATACCAGTGCATCTTGAAGAGTTCCAATTGCTGTAAACGTAATTTTTCTCCACATCTAGCATTCTAGAGTATTGTTTACAGTGGCTGTTTGAATTAGTTTCCTCTGTAATGTTACACTGTAGTTCAGGGGTGGGCAGTTATTTGGGCTGAGGACCACTTAATGAGTTTTGGTGAGCTGTTGAGGGCTGGGCAGAGGAGTGCCAACCCAGCCTCAGCCCCCAGTCATGGCAGTTTACACTGCCCGACAGAGGGGGTGGGAGAAAGTGTCAGTTGATCCTATCTGGCCCCGTCTGTCCTGTACCCACCACTGGGGATGCCAGACAGAGTGGGCAGGCAGGATCTCCATGGAGACTGTCCTAGGACCCCTGCAGACAGGGCACATCTGGCCGAGAGGATGGTGTGGGGCCATGGGGGAACAGGGAGTGGGAGCATGATGGGGCTGTGGGTGGGGCCATGATCAGGGGTCAGTGACAGCATGAGGCTGGGGCCCAGAGCAGAACTGTGGTAGATGCCTGGGCAGCAGGGCTGGGTCCAGCAGTGGCAGTGGAGACGGGGGCAGCAGCAGCCAGAGTGAGGGTGAGAACAAGCTGCTGCTGTAGGAGCTGCTGGAAAGCCAAGTCTGGCTGCCACCGCCACGCTGCCCAGCCCAACAGACTGCAACTCCTGGTGTGCCCTAGAGCTACACATGAGGATACGCTGTGCCTTGCACCAGGCAACACCTTCATGGCTGGGTGTGGTAGGACTGGCCACGTGTGTTTATAGCCTGGGCTGCCCCCTGCTTCTGGACTGGGTGGGGCCAGGGGACCTGCCATGGGCCAGATAGAATCACTTAGATCTGACCCATGGACCATATATTGCCCATCCCTGCTGTAGTTGCTTCAGCAGCTCTAAAATGTGTGTAGGGAAATAACAGATTTTTACTGGCTTTTTTTCCCAAAGCAAGCATAATTTGGAGCTTTGTAGTCTCTGAATAAATTGGCTGATGATCCAGTTCTGTTTCTTAGAATGCCTAAGTGACAAGACTTTTTTTGTAACTTGTTTGTATTTTTATAGTTTTATTGGTTGGGAACTTGCGCCAGTGATTTCTTTCTCACTCTTTTATCGAATTTTGTCTGTAATTGTCTCTTCACTTGTGTAGCAGACTGAGCCAGGATAGTGGGAGGACTCGGACCAAGCTGACTATGGAAGAACTGAAAGCATTTGTTCAACAGCTATTCAGCCTACCCTGTGTTATCAGCCAAGCCCGACAAGTAAAGGTGCGTTTGGATCTTGTCTTTTTTCTTTTTCTTTAGCATAAAAAATGGAACTGGCGAAGCTTTTTGATATAAAAGCTGCAGGGTAATTTTTGCTTCTAGGAGTAGTCCTTTATTGGTAGGGAGGTGGACTGAATGGGCTTTCCTCCTTGAAGAATGTTGCACCCTGGAGAATGAATCATCTGTTTACACAAACTTTCTCTTTTAAGATAATGTTCTAAGGGAAGTTTACAAAGCTCTTTTTGGGGTCATGCTCAGCCACCATAGTCACAGCTGCACCATAGTCCTGCCTGCCCACTCTGATGGAGGCTGATGTTCCTAGAGTGCATCTTGTACAGGCTTGTTTCCTGCAGCTCTCAGCCTTCATGGTTTATAATAGATTAGCTTGTGTGTAGTAGGTGTGAACCCAGATGTGGCTGGTCATTCTTAGGTTCACAGCTTGAATCTATCATGGCATTTGTTGCTGATTGAGCATGTTTGATGTGTATGATTTCAGAACCTGCTGGATGATGTGGAGGAGTTTCATGAGCGTGCTCAAGAGGCCATGATGGATGAGGTCCCAGACTCTTCCAAGCTGCAAATGTTGATAGATATGGGTTCTGGCCTCTATGTGGAACTTCCTGAACTGCCGCGGCTGAAGCAAGAACTGCAGCAGGCACGTTGGCTGGATGAGGTGAGGTCCACCCTTTCAGACCCCTTGAGGGTCACCCTGGATGTGATGAAGAAGCTGATTGACTCAGGTGTTGGGCTGGCACCGCATCATGCTGTAGAAAAGGCCATGGCTGAGCTGCAGGAGCTGCTTACTGTCTCTGAGAGGTGGGAGGAGAAGGCCAAAGTCTGTCTACAGGCAAGGTAAGTATTCCCTTGGTAACTATTCAGTAACAGTTGGAGGTTCCTTTGAAATGTGTGCCCTGTGTCTTACAAAGGTGGCAATGAGTAGGGTCTGTGAACATTACCACCAGCTTCCTGCTGCCTGACTTCCTAAAAGTAGTAATCTGAGGTGGTCAGTCAGTTGAAGTGGAGATGGTGCTCCATTCTGGTTGTCAGTGACCACAGCAAGAAGGTATGAGAAGTCCCATTATTTTTGTAACCCTTTTTTACTCCAAGTATGTTACCAGCACCAGCTTCCTCAGGGTTGTAACATTGAATTTGAGGTTTGATGCATGGTCTGCTAACTAAGATGGTGTGTAGATCATCAGTTTCCTCACTTCTGCTGGCATCAGTGAACAGGCCCCTCCTGATGAGAATAGAGCCGTGGTATACTTTGTTGCAGTGCAGTGATATCAGCTGCACAGACAGCCTGTTGGAATCATGGCTACAGTTGACTAGCACTTTGAGAGAAGGCTAGAATCAGGTTTTTCTCACTCTAGACCACGTCAAAGCATGATGGCTCTGGAGGGCATCGTGAACGAAGCAAAGAACATCCCAGCTTACCTGCCTAATGTACTGACACTGAAAGAAGCCTTGCATCGGGCTAGAGACTGGACAGCCAAAGTGGAGGCCATTCAGGTAGGGGTAACCACAGGGACTGTAATCTCTTGCTTGCATCTTTTTAGACAGGCATGTGTGCTCTTCACAGACACTGGCCAGGAAACCCAGAGCAGAAACCTTTTAACTCCTAAACTTGCCAACCCAAGTCTTTGTTTGACCTCTGTACTTCTCTTTCTGGGCTGCTATCTGTTTTCCCCATTGGATTTCTGTTCCAGGCTTTTCCCCTTCTTTTTGTGCATCCCCTTAGGGAACACAAAGGCCAACGTTTCTGCGGGTCTTCTCCCCCTTTCCTGTTACCTTCACAACAACTCTGTTGAGATGCATATTTAAGGTCAAAGTTTGTTTTTTTCTGCACACTGCCACTAGAGATGCTTAGCTGTGGTGAGACTTGGTGCACCTCGGTCCTTAAGTAACTGAGCTGCTGCAAAGGATTTCATTTTATTTTTTACCATGTATACATAATGTAAGGTGCTGGACTTGACACCACTATAGACTGAAGACCTTTGTCTATGAAATAGGTACAGGACTATGAGCAAGCATAGTTCAAGTTTCCCTTCTCCCTGTGGATATAGCTTGGCATTAGCCCAGGGAGGTCATCTCTAGAGAAAAGGGGAATTTTCAGTTTTTGGACCAGAAATACCATTGGTAATGGTGACTACCTCGTGCAGTCTTGCATGCTGGTAACTGGACTGAGACTAACAGCTCATTTCTTCCGGGCTCCTGACCAGCAGTTGAATACGATGTTTGACTGTTTGAACTGGGAATCCGAAGGCTGAAAGATTTCCATGCTGGTTTCTTGAGACGGCCATTCACAACAGATTGTCCATTAGCAAATGGGAGTTGTATTACATATAGAACTAGGTATCAGATATCAGTTAGATGGGAAGAAAGAAAGAACAAAGTGGTACTCAGACTTAAAGGCTATGAAGTTCTGTTTTAGTCAAAGAGGGTGTGGTATATAATTCACAGTCCCATGGCTCAGAGAACTGTCTTCTACCCTAGAATGGTAGCAATTACGCTTATCTGGAGCAACTGGAAAGCTTGTCTGCAAAAGGCCGCCCAATACCGGTACGTCTTGAGGCACTGCCACAGCTGGAGTCTCAGGTAGCAGCAGCACGTGCCTGGAGAGAGCGCACAGGAAGGACTTTCTTGAAGAAGAACTCAAGCTACACTTTGTTACAGGTGAGCAGCAGGCAGCTTTGTATTGGGTCCAGGGACCTGATTTGGATGGAGGCATTTGTATTGGGTTCCTCTTCATTATGATAGAATGGCACGTAAGGCTCACTCCTGCAAAGAGGGAGGGAGGTGGCAGGGCCCTCAGTCTCCTTTTGGATACTGAGAGCTTCAGCTATTGCTGCTAGGAAGGTGGGGCAAAACTAGTTTGTGGGAAGAAGGGGTTGTGTTACTACATGTATTATGTCTGTCTTTTGCTGCCAGTGTATTTATAGAATTTTTTCATATTATGTTTTAGGCCCCTACATGATTTTGTCCCCTTGCTCTGCTTAAGATTTGTTTTTCGTACTCATCCTCAGCAGTCTCCCCTTTTTGCAAAACTAGTGGGGGGGGGGGTTTAGGGTTGTTAAAAACTTCTGATGCAGACATATTGGTCTCCTACTATGCCATCTTTCCTTAACATTAGAGGTGTCTATACATATGCTCCGGGGGGGGTGGCGGGGTGTGTTTTAAAAGAGTGACTCCCAGACAGCTGCTCTAATTAAAATTAGAGCACAGGGTCATGTGTATTCAGTGTCCTGCATTTCAAAATGGCTGCAGGCATGTTGTAATTAAAGCTCATTTGTCAAGTTTTAGCTAAAGCTCCTCCACCACTAATTTGAAATGCGGGACACTAAACACAGGTGAGGATGAGGCACACTGGAGTGTTCTAATTGGAACACTCCAGCAGACTATTAATCAAGTCTGCTTGGACAACCTGTTCTAAGTAGAACACACTGGAACATGTGCATAGATAGCCTAGGATAGCTTGCTGTTGCGCCTTTTTAACACGGTCTCTTTGAAGCTTTCTGCTGGCATGATGTGCAGTGCTTGGGATTCGGTATAAAATTCCTCAAATCCCAATCATACAGCTGCTGGCAGGCCAAACTTGGACGTGGGGCTGCCCCCTAGCCTGATTCCACAGCTGGGGTGGCTATGTCCCTTGCTCCTGGGCATGCCCCATGTCTGATATCAGAGTTCAGCTGAGCATCAGGGTTGGACACAGAGCAGCCCTGGGTCTGAAAACTGCATGCATAGCCCAGCTGAGCTGTATATGCATTTCTAAATGTCCCAGAGCACTAGGAGTCCCAAACTGGTGAGTGTCTCCATACTCTTGAGTTCCCATGCCCCAGGGTTTTACATATCACATGTGCAGCCTTGGTTTTCAGACTCAGGTCTGCCACGTGTCTGACTCTTCATCAGCATTGGCCACAGTGCGGCCTCGGGTCCCGGTTCAAGACTAGAGGCCGCCTTATGCAGGATCCTGGGGATCAGAATCCAACTGAAAATATCTACAGTACCAGTTTGATTACACTAATATTCTAGGGCTGCAAGCTATTCTACTTGGGACTTATTTCAGTCTTAGTTTTTTGTGTTTATTCCCTTCCATGTTGCCATTACTTTATAGGTATCAAAGATGTTCATCAGTTTTTCATATGTTTTACAGCAGGGTCATAAGAGGGATGAGGTATTTATTTTGCAGTATAATGAGGCTGGTTGTATACATGATACATGTGCTATCATCTGTTCCTCAGCCAACCTAGCAGTATGGGTTTGGAATGTTTTTCTTTACATTGTTGTTGTCCTAAGATCCCACATTCTTGTCTTTTTGGTTACAGGTTTTGAGTCCCCGGACTGATATTGGAGTTTATGGAAGCAGTAAGAATAGACGGAAAAGGGTAAAAGAGTTAATGGAGAAGGAAAAAGAGAAAGATCTTGACTTAGAATCTCTGAGTGAACTGGAGGATGGGCTTGAGGAAGCTAGGGACACTGCAACTGTGGTAAGGAGCTATGTTGTGGGGCTGGCATCTCCTGGATTTTAGGAGTTTTTGATCTCAAGGGAAGCCTGTCTGCATGCTAACTACTCATAACTTGACAGGAATGGTTTAGCCAGGGATGCTCTTACCTTAAGGAGGGATTGGGCAAGATGACTTTGTGGTGCTTTCCAGCCTTCCTTTTCTGATTCCGTAACTTGATTGTCTGTAAATTTCAGATGCTTAAGTATAGCTTGTGGAAGTCTTACTGAAAACTGTTAAGTAAATCTCTGTGAAATAAATGCTTCACAGTAATAAGCCTGACAGAATATGCAGTTCACACAGCATTCATTATGGCACTCCAAGGATGTTTTAAATAGGTTTGGATAGTAGAAGGTGTTGCCATGTGTATTTGGCTAAAGAAGATGAATTATGGGTTTAATGTTTATGTTGCCATCACTTATGAATATAAATGGAAATACCTTAAAAATACCTGGCACCACACACAAAAAAAAAAGGGCAAGACTGGATTAGATTAGACCTGTCCTGTGCACCAAATTGAAATATATTGCAGTCAGCTAGTACAACGTCCAGAAATTGCTGTTAAAGAAGCAGACCAATTTACACCAAAACAGTGATACCGCCAGGTGCCTGTGCAAAACTTTCATTAGAAGTGTGCAAATTTCCTGTTACTGAACAGCTGGTTGGCTGCTTACAAGTAATTCATGTCCTTGCATTATTGATGTGTAAGCTACCAGAGCCTAAGCTACCCTGACCACTGGTAAAGCTGCGTTGTTTATTAAGCATTTTACCCATTCCATTCCATCCCTTACACACAAACCGTTTGAATCACTTGCTGCTGGTGCTCATTTTCTTTTAAAATGGTCAGCTTGTGGGAATGGAGAAAAATATGTTAAGATCTCCTTAGTGAATTGATGCTACCAGAAATTGAAGAAGTGGGACTATAGTTATTCTCCAGAGTTATTTTCTACAGGAATGAGGGAAACTGGCACAGTGCTGAAAGCCTGTAGTTACGTTACCTTGCATGTGAACCATCAGACCTCAGGCTCCTTGTGGATTAGATCATGTCTTGAATGAGAAGTGCTAAGAAACACCTAATTGGCTGTGTAATGAAGCTATGCCCCATTTAGATATGTATAATATGCCTCTTAGGTTGTGTTGGGAGGAGTCTGCTGTTGATGTGTGTGCATGCGCATGCGGGAGCATTAGGGGATTTTTTACGCTAAACCCGGGATCTGTTTCCTTTTGTTGTGATTAAAGAGTCCATTTCCCTTTATATAGGAATTAACTTGGGTTTTTAAATCAAACTCCAACTTAAGCAGGCACATTCTGTTTTCTGTATTTTATCCATAACTCACATTATGAAATGGATTTTCAACAACTTTTGGGTCAGCGTTTTACCTGAGAGATGTTTTTATTTTGGTGAGTTTGGAAATGGTCCATGGTAGAGGTTGGTTCCTTTTTAAGTTTGCAAATTGTTTTGGAAACTTTGGGAAAGATAGTACCATAAAAATATTTTTTCTTTGCATGAGTGGTGGAATACCAGGGTTCTGAAGAGAAACTTAGAGCTTCATTTTTCTTTTGGACTTTGTGCCTGGAAGATTCTTGATTAATTTCATTCTTTTTTCCTCTCTAATAAAACTTTTGAGTCCATTTGTTGTGATAGAGGTACCAGCTATTTTTGTTTCTCTGTGCTGGGCAGGTGGCTATATTCAGGGAGCGGGAGCAGAAGGAGATTGAAGCCATGCATGCCCTCAGGGCAGCTAACCTAGCTAAGATGACCATGGTGGATCGTATTGAAGAAGTGAAGTTCTGCATCTGTCGAAAAACAGCTAGTGGGTTCATGCTGCAATGTGAGCTCTGCAAGGATTGGTTTCACAGTGGCTGTGTGCCACTCCCCAAAACCAGTTCCCAAAAGAAGGGCTCCAGTTGGCAGGCCAAAGAAGTCAAGTTCCTGTGCCCACTCTGCATGCGTTCTCGAAGACCCCGGCTTGAGACCATCCTGTCTCTGCTGGTGTCCCTGCAGAAGCTTCCTGTACGGTTGCCAGAGGGGGAGGCACTGCAGTGCCTGACAGAACGTGCCATGGGCTGGCAGGACCGAGCACGGCAGGCTCTGGCTACTGATGAACTGTCTTCTGCTTTGGCCAAGCTTTCTGTGCTCAGCCAGCGTATGGTGGAGCAGGCAGCACGGGAGAAAACAGAGAAAATAATCAGTGCAGAGCTACAGAAAGCAGCAGCTAATCCTGACCTACAGGTAAGCACCTGGGTATCCTACTCCTAGCCTCATTGCTGAGATCCACCAACATTTTATCAGTATGTGAAATGTCTTGTCTGCCTTTGAGCCTCTCAGAAAGAAGCAGTTGCAGACTGAGAATTATGTCAGTTGTCTGTCACTGGTGTAAGTAAATAAGCAAAGGGTATCAGAACACTTTGAGGGATTTATAAGGCATCTGTTAGTTACCCTCTGGCAGAAAGTCAGTGGCCTGTATGAAGTACATAATTGACCTTAGTCTGGTTTGTTGTGGATATTGGCCCATAGAGTGACTGATAGCCAGGTTAATAATTTCAGAGAGGACTGCAAGTAGTTACTACAGCTTGTATAAAAGTCTGCCACATCAGAATTGTTCAGAAGTGTTCATTGATGACATAGTAATGTTGAAGGTGAGGCTTGTGTTGCCATTGATCTTGTGATGACAGTTGGGTGAAAATAAATCTATGGCTGTCCAGCTACTAGTTCTCAAAAGGGCTAGAAATACAGGATCCTTCTGGGCATATCATCCCACATTCTCTGCCCAGACCTTTGGGTCATAGCTTTGCCCAGGCTTTACTTGTGCATGAGCAGGTAGCAGTCCTGAGGCTAAAGGATGGCACTAGCCTTTGAAAAGTTCTTTTCTGTATTAGCTAGCCTTGCTGCACTCCCTTAATGCATGTTCCATTTGTGTTCCATTGCCTTGTAGGGCCACTTAACTAGTTTCCAACAATCTGCTTTTAACCGAGTGATAGGGAGTGTTTCCTCATCTCCACGACAGACCCTGGATTATGATGATGAAGAGACAGATTCTGATGAAGACATCAGGGAGACTTATGGCTATGACATAAAGGCAAGTAACCAGCATGGATAACAAACTTGAATAACTCCATGTATAGACCAGCTGTTGTGAAATAACTATATTTGTAGATGCTTTGGAATAAATATTCATTTATGGAGTTATTGTGGAACAACTATCCACATGAATTGCCCTCACCATTCCAGAATGATTTTCATATACTGTACCTTAAGGCTTGGCTACCTATCTTGTGGCCTTATTTCTGTGATAAGGCCTGTATATGATTATTTAAACATAAATTGGGGGTATTAAGTGTTACAACAGGATGCATTCACAGTTTCATAATGTGTTATGATTAGAGGAAGGAAACAAAAACATCTTTCCAGGGCTTTAAAAAAAGCTTCTCAGGCATGATTTGAGACTACAAGCAAACTTGAGAAGAATGTGCTCTTGGACCATCATAACTACAGCACTTGAACCCCACTCTTTGCTCTGAAGATCAGAATGGAAGACTGTGTAACTCCATGGCCTTTTTCATAGATGTTACATACTAGTTGCAGTTTTGATAGAGGGAACTCCTTTTTCAAGTTCCAGTGCAGCAGAAAGAAGGCTTTGACAATTCCATGCTTTGTAAGAAGTTTCTTACTACCTAGACTCCTTTTTCACTTCGCTGTTTGTTCTCTTCCCCAGTCCAGCATGTGGAAGAAGTAAAACTTGTTCAGTTTCCGCCATGTGTAGAAGTTTGGGATTACAGCTCTGGCTGGTAAATGCTAACTGAACTCCAGGAATTTTTTCTCAAAACAAAACAAAACTGCTCTTACTAGCTTTGGAATTTATTTATATTTTTACCAGCAAAGAATGTTTCAAAAGAAAAATGCAAATCTATAAAGACGACTGCATGGTTTTAATGAGACTATTACAGTACATTTTTAAAATGGTTCTGAGACGTTGCTTTACTTTTCGTCTCTACACTTACTGAATGTGTAACAATGGTTTCTTTGTATGGATGGCCACCTTAGGGATGTAGCATTGTATTTCTTCCATGAGACACATTAGAGGTGAGAAAAATAAGGCCCATTAGACACTATAGAGGCTACTTTTAAAATGGTAATAAATCTTCTGATTTCAACTTTGCTTTAAGATAAGTCCTATCTATTTTCTAATAAGTCCTTAATTTTAATTTTTTTTATCTTAATGCATTTTGGTTGCTTACAGACGTTAGAAAAACAAACAAACAAAAACCCGTGCTTTACTGTGAAGCAATACGTTAGTTCAGCCGGGCTCCGCAGCATCTGTATAGATTGAGTGCTTCAACAGGGCCTTTTGGTGCTTTCATCTAAAGCTGATTCAGTCAGCCATTAGATAAAAATGCCAAAAAAGCCTCAGTAAGGCACTGAGTCTACTCAGACGTTGGGTGAGCCATGTCCAACTAACACAATGCCTTTTCTGGTCATGCACTGGCCTCGGTGCGGGAGCACACTGAGTTTGACTTAAAGCACTGTTTTTTTTTAAGATCTGTAAGCAGCCTTTAATTTTAAGCATTTAAGTTACTTTAAGTATTTTCAGATTTTTCACCCTCTTAATATTTGACTCTCTAATTACTGGTAGCAGCTAAAAATATTAGTGTAATAATTTTATAATCTTATATGAAGTGTAGACAAAGGTGTGCTGGTAATCGGAGGTTGGAATTAGTGTGAAGTTTTAAACTGTCATTAAAAATATCCAAATATTTCCAAACTGCCCTATGCGCTAGAATGAACTATTCATAAGAAGATTTTTCTGCAAGAGATGTGGAGTATCAAGTTGTGTGCTTGGAAGAGTGGAACTGCCTGTCAAGCTTTGAGGATTTTGCAGGAGTAGAGTACAACTTGAATTCTGAAAAATAAAACATTCTGCAGTCACAGGATTTCAGTTTGGTTATTGAGTCTTAAGATTCTGGAACTTTTGACTGTATAGAATTATGCAAATTGACCTAGAAAGGTTTGTTTTATCATATCCTACTTTTCTAGCTTTTCTTGCTATCAAAACTACTTAATTACTAGTCCTGTAACCTGTTTTGTATGCCCCAAATATTGGGGCTATCACTAATAACCAGATAAACTTTCTGACAATTACATTTTTACTTGGCTTATTGATTGTATATTTTCTTAATTTCATCCCATGTCATTTGGCTTGTTCCCTTGCATCCTTGAATGTTTACAGCTATTAAACAAATATTAGTAGATTTGTTATGTTGTTATGAGCTTCCCTTAATTATTCTTTCTGAACCTTCTCCACTTGGGAGAGGTATAATTTCAAACTGATGTAGAGTCTGAGTTCGGCAGCTGGTTTGTTACTTGTGTCACTTCAATTTCTTCACATTACGTGAAGTCATGAAATAGATTTTCAATTTTAAAAGCCTGAACAGCCAAAGTCCAGTAATTCATTGTTTAATTTTTAGCATAATAATATACACAAGGTGTCAACTGAGAATACAAGTTCTTTGGTTTCACACTAATAGTTATAACGTGGCTACTTTAGATGTGACCTGTTTTTCAAAGTCTTGGGACTGGTGACAAGAAATTTTTATGGTATTTCAGGTTTAACAAAATGGCTGGGCCCTGGGGGCTTTGTATTCTAATGAATTTCTCTCTAGCCATAGACAAATGCTAAGTTTGACAGGCTTTGGCAGTGGCATACTGTAAATCGGAATTCTTCTGTAGCGAGGAATGTACATAATCCACAAACCCTAGGCATCTAAAGCAGGGATCTCCAGGGAGTGGCTTTCATTTGACCTGTGAAGTTCACAGGTGGGGACTTAGATTTCTTCCACATCAATTGAGAGTAGTACTATATTTACTCGCATACTATGCATACCTTACTCTGTGCCCCCTCTCCTCCATTATCAGCCCTCCAAAATTGGGGTGCATAGTTTAGGCAGGGAAGCTGATTTTTTTTTTCCCCTTTGCTGGAATAGAAGTGTAGATGCTGTGCTCTAATGGCTGCCAAGATGGCTTCCTCTTATCTCTGGCCCCAGCAAGCAAGGAGGAACAGTGCCCTGGGTTGACTTTCTCACAGCTGCTAAGGAATTTGTAGTAGATGAGCACAGTGCTGAGCTGACTGCCATAGCTGGTACCTGAACAAGCAGCTGAGCTAGCTCAGGGAAAGTGAGCCACTTCATGCGGTAATATCTTGATAAGGCTTGTGGCCTGGAAACAATACTTGATTCTTTATGGGCACTTGAGTAAAGAACTATTTACAATAAAGAAGTAAGTCTTGCTAGCATATGGGTTTGGGGCCTAGCCTTGTTTCTGTCCTGCCACAGCAGGAAGCCCCCTGCTGCCTCACCCAAATCGTATCCTGGGATGTCACACGTACTGGGCATTCTGTGTTTCCAGGACGCATTCTGTCACACTATCAGCCATGACTGTGGAAAAATCTTTTTGTATACATTCTGCTTTCCAAAAACAACGTGTGCGTCTTTTTAGGGCATGTGACATGCTGGCAAATACAGTTTTAAGCAAACATTTTGACTTTTTTTGTATAGCTGCTGTCACTATTCCGATACCTATGTTAATAGCACCATGTGCTGGTGGTGTTAGTTTCCTTGGCAGGTCACTTCTGAGCAGGTTCTTGGAAGTAGTGTGCTTTTGATCATTTTCCACGAAGATCTGCTTCAAGAGGTAGATACTTAAGTACATAAAGATTATTAAAGCTGGGATTTATTTTCTTGCTTTGCCTTTTTCAGGACAATGTCAGTGTGAAATCTTCCAGCAGCCTGGAACCTAACCTCTTCTGTGATGAGGAGATCCCCATCAAGTCAGAGGAAGTGGTGACACACATGTGGACGGCTCCCTCTTTCTGCGCTGAACATGCATATTCATCTGCTTCTAAAAGCTGTTCACAAGGTATTTCCTTGCCTTTGCACTGGGAGGTGGCTGAGAAATGCTTGTCATCTGTACTAGGTTCTGGGAATACAATGTCTACACATGGAGAAGTTGGTGTATATTCCTTTATGCAATGAACATCAATATTCTATTAACGCTATTTGCCCATTAACTGTATCAGTGCCCATATTTTCTCTTTTGGGCATCTCTGTCTTAGAGCGTTGCTGGGAAGTAACACATGGTTTTCCTGTTTCTGGTCTCTTCTTTTTTGTTCTATGTGATTTGCCTTCTGTTTTGAAAGGTTCTAGCACCCCAAGAAAGCAGCCCCGGAAGAGCCCTCTGGTACCTCGCAGTTTGGAACCCCCTGTACTGGAGTTGTCACCTGGAGCTAAGTCCCAGTTAGAGGATCTGATGATGGTAGGAGATCTCCTAGAAGTATCGCTGGATGAGACCCAGCACATCTGGCGGATTTTACAGGCCACGCATCCACCTTCAGAGGACAGATTTCTTCATGTCATGGAGGTACACAAAGGCAGACAAAATTCTAGTATAGGAGGAAATTGGATCAATGTGATTTAATTTCCATTTTTTTAGAAAGATGGAATTTTGGGTTGTTCTTAAGAAGAGCTTGTTCCCTTGATGTTCAGTCTGACTTGGCTAAAGATGCCTCCAGTCCAAAAATATTTGCCCTCTCACCGCTGTGTTTCTCTCCTGTGTGCAGTTCCATCATTCTCGTTCAGCTTGCCATTGCTTTGTGAGATGGGTTTGGTGGATAGATCACTCTACAAACACTGTTTCCTTCTATATGCTATATAGCAATAACATTTTTTTGCTTGGAATAAAAACACATTAGAAATAAAAATGGTTTCAAAATAAAAACCAATCCTTACTGCATGCAAACACTCTGCTTTTGAATACAAATATAATTTAGGAATAAACAAGAGAAAGAGCAGTTAAAGTTGCCAGTGCAACTTAAATTCTTGCTCCCTTCTGCCATATCTGTTACAGGACTTTTACTGTTATTTCATCATAAAAAGACACTTATGATGCCTACCTCATTCACGTCACATACTTAATAGAGAAAGAGGTTCTGTTCAGAGTACCTGTGTCTCTTTTGCTGCAAAGTTACATAGTGTGTATAAATGACCTGCATGCTTGCTGGAAGAGGATGCAAACTCACGGTTGAAAGAACTGGACTGGAACCCAGAAAACTTAAGCTTCTAAGTGACCTCAGGCACTTACCACTTCTGCATCTGTTAAATGGGAATAGCAGCAATTTCTGATCTTGCATAGTTATTGAGTATAAAATGAATACCCAAGACAATTAATTAGCATCACAGTAAAGTTATAGGAGAGGGGTCCATTTTGGGAGTGTGCAGCAAATGAGGAATAGGAACACCAAGCAATTTGAGTAGGAAGAAAGGTATTTTGATCATCCACGCTGTACAATTAATGTCATGAACCTTGCAGAAAATGTTGTTAGTTAAAATTATACATACATACATAATACATATGCACCAAAGGGCAGGATTAGGGTTGTGTGTGCAATCATAAATTTGTCCATTTCTGATTTGAGTACTTTGTTTTGTATCATTAACATTCTTTTAATTGAATTGTTTTCTTATGGAAATGCTTTGGGGAAAAGTAGCATGAGTGCTAGCAAATTTGTTATACAGATCTTGCAAGTAAAGTGCTTTACACCAAATGAGTTTTAGCGTAACCATTTTGAAGGCTTGTTTGACCAAATTGCTTACTTTAAATGAAAATTATTTAGGTTAGGTTTTGTTTTTTTTTTAATTGAACAGAATCTCCTAGTGAATTTGTTAGGCTGAGTAACCTCACTATAAATCAGAGTGCTGAATCTTGCTCCATTGGTTTGAAGCATGCATTCAATCTCTGACGTCATTGAAGTTTACTGCATAGTTTGACTGCAGTTGCAAGGTTCTTGTGCTTGTTCAAAGGTCATTATTTACTTATGAAGCCTTAGAGTATAAATAGGTAGGGTTTGATGCTCTGAATGTTAACTGCCCTGACATCTTATTTGTTTTAAATTACGGTGGTGGGTTTTTTAAATAGTACCGAACACAGCGTTTCTCAATGTAGAAACCATTCTGATCACACATCAGCATTTCTTGTTCCCCTCATTTTTGAGCACATGGGACATTCTTGAGAGAGAGGACCTTTGTTTTTCATAATTCACCAGTTGATACTTTTATTTTCCAATCAAAGCAATTATTGCAAACAAGAATAATTTGAGATAAGTAGTAAGCAGTAACAGATTAACATGTAAATACTAAATCATTTTTCTTCCTACAAATAGCTGTTATAGTAGTGAATAAAAGAAGGAAATCGTATCTACGGTTTATCCAGGACCTTTTGATCTTTGTTTTCCATAGGGCAATGTTGACTTTTAACACTTTCTTCTTCTTATCCAGTTAACTTCAATAATTTCCTTACACTGGTTTGTTGAATGCTATAGATGAGCATCTTTTTAAATTAGGACTTGCCAGTCCACATTTTTTGACAGGCAGTGTCCTTTCTCTTTTGATAGAGTGGGTACAGTTGTGATTGGAAGATGTCTTAAGTAGATGATGAAAATGTAGCATGTAGAATCCTCAGTTTTAAAATTTCTTGTCACCTTTTTTGTGAAGGATGACAGCCTGGATGAGAAGCCATTAAAAATGAGAGGGAGAGATTCTTCTGAGAGGAAACGAAAACGAAAGCTGGAAAAGGCAGAGCAGTTCTTTGGAGAAGTAAAGCAGAAATCTAAAGAGTTGAAGAAACTGGAGAAGCCCAAAAAGAAGAAACTAAAATTAACCATGGACAAGACAAAGGAGTTGAACAAGTTGGCAAAGAAACTAGCCAAGGAAGAGGAGCGGAAGAAGAAAAGAGAGAAGGCAGCTGCAGCAAAAGTAGAGCTAGTAAAGGAGAGCACAGAGAAGAAGAGAGAGAAGAAGGTACTAGATATTCCTTCTAAATATGACTGGTCAGGAGCTGAAGAGTCTGATGATGAGAATGCTGTGTGCGCTGCCCAGAACTGCCAAAGACCCTGCAAGGACAAGGTGAGTTCTACCATAAATGATTGGGGGAAATAATGAAAATCCCTTTAAGGTTTGTCTGGGAGGTTAGCCAGTTTTGAACAAAAGTGAGTTGGGTGGCTAATATATTAGATGTGTTAGTACTGACAGGTAGATGTATGATGATACTGCTTGATCCACATTAGACGATAGGCATCTGTCTTGGGATGGTTTCTGGACAGTGGATCCTGCATTTATACAGAGGCTTAGACTAGATGACTCTTGGGGCTCCCTCTAACCCTTGTACTCTCTAGAATGCAGCTTTGCTGTTTTGAGCCATAACAGTTGGAATCTGAACGTTGGTATAACTGTATATTGATCAACTTTAACCCTATCTTTCTCTAAGCCGGTGTTGCTCAAACTTTTTAGGCTCAAGGCATCCCTTATTGGGCTCAAGACACTCCTCTGTAACTTTTGTGAATTTAGTAGCTACAGTATTTTCAAAAAACTATATATTATTTGCAGCGTGGTTAGGCAGTGAGGGTGGGGAGACATCCAGGCAGGGGCAAGCCTGAACCTATGTTTATCTGCTTAAATACCTGCTTATCTCTTCATATCTTGCTGTCTTCTCACACTTCGGGGCACCTAAAGAATCTGGCAGAACCTCAGGATGCCCCAGCATCCTCGTTCATAATAGCTGCTCTAAGCACTTCAGTCTGAGCAGGAGGTGAGAGGGAGGAGCTACTAGGGATGTAAAATCTGGGAATATTTTTTCTTTTTAAATTGCAAAGTTACACCCCCTTCAAGCCCTCTTCCAAATTCTTTGTTGCTGGTATTAGGAAAAGATGCTGATGAACCTCAGAGGGGTTAATTCTATTTTTCCCTGTTCCCTGTTTTGAGTATGTTTCTAAGCAAAAGTCTAAGCTGGATGTACAGTCCTTATAAATGAAAATTAATCTTCCAAAGCTCTTGTATAATAAAGCCAGTGAGCTGTGAGGCTGCAGGTTGAGCAAAGCCACAGGTTGCAGTGCCCCACTTTTCTTGTGGGAGGTAAATCTGCAGTGGTTTTAGAATTGATCGGATTACGACCCAAAAAAAAAAAAAATCTCATCCGCCTTCAGAGGTTATTTGGTCCCGTTTGTGGCCTTGGCAGCTGCTTTTAGCTTAAAGTAACTGGGGGAGATCAGCCTCTTTCAGTTTTCATTTATTTATGTATTTATCTATTAATTAAAGTTTTTTATAGGTGAAAAAACCCTTAATAGCTGCAGTTGAAGTTTTAAGCTATGTATGAATGTGACGGTCTGGGTAGCATCTCCAAATATTTTCATAGATTTCAGGAAGATTCTTCTGATTTGGGGAGATTGGGTTGTGTCATTTTTGTTTTGGTAGAATTGAAAGAAAACTCACTGTTGGGAACCTGTAAGAACTAGAGATAGCAAAACCTGGCACCGAGCCATTGAGAGGCATTCTCCATTGGTGGATTTGTAGACTGGATGATCTAATCAGTCTTCCATCTACTTTATAAATGATACTGCAGTGTTTAGTACATTCCATAAAATGTGCTATGTACTGAAAATGCTGAGCTTCCTAGGTAGAGAAAGTGGCTGAGTTCACCTCTTTGTAAGGGGTTTGTTTATTAAAATAGATTAATTTGTAAGAATTTTAGGAAATGCTTAATGTTGCATGTAGAATCCTAGTCATCATAACTCTCTTTAAAACTGTGTTTGCCATATGCTTCAGTATGCCCACGTAATAAAACTTTTAAAAACGTTCTTGCCCTATGGATAGAAAATGAGACAGACAGAAATGTAATAGCTGAAGCTGGAGGCATTAATGTCTCTTACCGTATGCAAAAATAGTTTCACTGTAAAGTACAGTCTTCAGCTGACTGTGGCCCCTGGATTTTTGCATTGCTTTGCTTTATATTGCATCTTAATTTAGTTTCCAATGTATAGTCAGTTATATCTCTTCTTATAAGATAAAAGTGAAGTTTCAGCAATAATGGCTTTGATCAATACAATGCTATAAAAGGTAGTATTATTACCCTTCATATCCCAACTTTTATCCATCTCATTCAATTTAAATGTGACTACTCAGAAAATGTTAGGAATCTTCTGATGCCTTTGAAATTTTGAAAGCTGCTTTGCTAACTTTTTCTGCCACTTTTGTTCTATGGCAAGTTCATTTCATAGTTAAGGGTTTTTCTTTTCCTTGTAACTTCTTCAATAAATTCATTGGCCATTTGTTGCTTTTTGGACTCCTGGGTGGACAGAGGTTTTTGAAACTAAGTTCATATGCAACCAGATGCAGTAATTGGGTCCCTTTTGTTTTCTGTAGTTGCAGAATTTACCTTTTGCTGTAGATCGATTGAAAAATCCAACCTTTCACTTGTCATTTTTTTAGTCTTTATGGTTACAAAAATAACCTTCCAAGTGTTAATCTCTGTAGTGGGTCAGTATTTAGTTTAACATTTTATTGACTAAGAGCCTCTGGGTTTGAGTGAGGTGCTGAAACTTTCAGGGAGCCACTGAAGTTGAAGAGTTTGTTGTGGAATTCAGTTCAGTGCTCTTGAAGGGGTTTACCAGCATTTAATATCCTCTATTTTTGTGGTCTCAGCTTTTTTATACATGTGCTGGGATGTAAACACATATGTTAAAAAGAGAATGAAAATTAAAACAAGACTGAAGAGGAATTAACTTGGTAGCTGAGAGGAAGCAGGGAAGAAAATCAGCTAAATAAGGTAGCAGGAGTGAGTGAGCTCATGTTTTAGAATTTTGGGGGAGATCAGGAAGTCCACAGTGTGAGCAGGTGGTTGAGTGAGTTAGAGTAAAGCAAGACCATAGGGTTTCTTGAATAAAGAGCAATTTGGGGACGGACATGATATGCACAGGAAGTGGAGGGAACTGAGAGAATGGAAGTAGTATTCTTCTATCTGAAGTTCCCTTGCTGTTCTGCTTCATATCTTGTCTAGCAGCAGCATTCTGGACCCATGAAGAAAAAAAATTCTCCTGCAGTAGTCATAGGATAGGCTTGCTTTAAGCAGTGTATGTGTAGGGATTCCAGCTGAGGCAGAGCCAACAGGAGCGGGATGAATTCTAGCAGTGTTCCTCGCATTCCAAATCTGTGTATTGCTGACTGAGAGGGATGTGAAAATCCAGGATTTATTTTGGCTCTGCAAGCAAAGATGAGGTCTGAGGTAGGGAGAATAGTAGTAAGTAGTCATGGGATCTTGGGCTGTTTTCTAAGCAAGACATTCATTGTCTGGAACTAAACTTGAAGTTTAAAATCTTAACAGGTAAATGATTGGAGAAAGGAGTATTGAAAAATTGAGAGGTGTAGGTAGATTACCTCAAAATTATCATAATTGGTGTCACTAATAAAGCCTTGAAGGGAGAAGAAGGAAGAGGAAATTGTTAGAGCTGAGCCCCAGTGAAGGTGAGAGGAAGGAAAGGAGCCAAAGCTGTTTCCTCAGATCAAGTGAAGTTGCTATGCTATGTTACTTGACCCTTGCTGGCTTTCAAAGAGCAGCCACTGTTGGTGAAATAGCCTTGCTTAACATAACTCTAGGCAACTTTGGCATTGAAATTAATTAAATTGTTCAGTTTTCTACCTCTTGCAGTTAATTCTGAGAAGCCTTTATGCAAGACTACTGAGCATAGGGAAGAAACTTATAATTGATGGTGGGTTGTGGTGGGGTGCAGTGCTAGACTCTGCCACTCCTGTGGCTGGGCAGGTGCAGCACAGGGTTTCCTCCACTGCTGCAAAGATTCCTGGTTGGGGAGATCCTGGCACCCCCTCTGAATTGGTGAGCAGGGCAGGTGCCTTGCTTGTCTTGCCCTATTTACATTCCTAGTGGGGACTAGTTTGGTCTACAAGTAGCAGATGAGGATTAGCATTCACCAGCTACTTAAAGGTACAAGTATTGTAACTGAAATAGGGGCTGAAGAAACAAGTGAGGTGGGGAAGAGTAGTAGACAGTATGGCCCAAGTGAATGAGCTGCCCTTAATTCTACTTGTGAAGAACTGATGGCAGAGATCACAGTTCAGAAGTGAGAACATGAGTCAGAAGACAAATATATACCAAGTTATGCTGCCTGTAGGAACTTTGTAAAACGAAAGGGCAGTTTTCAGTTGATCTCAAGCCCAGTCTCAATATACCATATTGAGAACTAAGAACAAGTTGGTTTTTTTTTTCACATAGCAATACTTTGCATTCACAGTTCTTCGACAGCTGCCAACTGCATTGCCCTTTCTGTGCTTCCTCTTCATATTCACCTGTTGCCTAATTAATCTCCTGTCAAGATGCACAACATAGATTTTTATCTTTGCACCTCTACACTGTAACCATTGGCGCACAGTAACTATTTAACCTCTTCTATAGTCTCATTTTACCCAGGGCAAATACCTTTTGATCCTGTCACTGAAAAGAGTTGGTTATCCAAATAGAAAAGAAATAGACTTCAGTTTCCATCAGATGTTTGGGAAGTTGGGTTCTTACAGCAAAAATTGCTGTCTTTTAAAATTTACTGTCAGGTTATAGTCCAAGTGAAATCCGAAGAGGTTTGGGAAAGTTGATAAAATGAAGCCCTCATTCAAGCAGAAATAGAAAACAATGTTATCATAGCTCAGGTGAACTCTATGTTAGTACTTTAACTGTGCCTCGCACTTGTTTCAGAACAAAGATTTCTGTTAAGTGCCATTTTGGAGTGATTGGTCACTTGTACAGAACTGAAACTTGGTTTATAAATTCATTTAAAATCCCATCTCTCTTCACCTCTCTATTTGGGAAAGATAAAATTAGAGGGTTTTTTTACTTTAAGGTAGGTTTATCAGTTTTCTAAAAGTAAGCATAAAGTCTGTAATTTGTCAACCCCTGCTGGGAGGGAGAATAATTGCAGTAAAGAAAGGAAATACAGTATTTGTATCTATATTTATTCTTTTCCCATTGGCTGGTCATAAATTCTTTCCTTGTGGATTCTAAGCATTTTAGGATTGATTGTTACTGATCCTTCCAAATCAGAAGGATGCCAACTCATTCACTTGCATTACTACTGCATTTTGCTTTGGGATAGATTTCTGTGCAGTGACTATTGTTTCCAGTGTATCTGTGTTTCCTTAAGTACTTATGAAGGCATTGATAGTATATTTAGTGCCTTCTGCCAGTAGATTTCAAAGCATAATCACAAAGCATTATTTCTGAGAACAGTTCTCAGTCTATAGGTCCCCTGTGAGGCAAGTTTTCCTTGGACTTCTAGAATTCCCCATATTAGCTTGTTGTTAGTGCAGAAAGGTTCCTTTATTGGGATCTTTTGAAACAACTCATCTGTGCTGAAGCTTTCTGTTAATTATACAGGTCATATTGAAACCATGTAGCATCTATGTCTTTAGGACAGCGTAGGAAGAATATGAAGTTAATCCAGCTACAGAAGATTGACAGGCCTGCCTACTTTTCATGCTTTGCTATCAGCCTAAAACATTCCAAAGATCTGTAATAAACTTTTACATGCTAGTATCTGAGTCTGTACCATATATATTTTTTTTCTTCTGGTACTGGTCTGGAGAGTTCAGTATAAGTTTTCTCCCTTGCACTATACTATGTGTGTTGATCTTGTCTCTTGCAGGTAGACTGGGTACAGTGCGATGGTGGCTGTGACGAGTGGTTTCATCAAGTGTGTGTTGGCGTCTCTCCGGAAATGGCTGAGAATGAAGATTACATCTGTATAAACTGTGCAAAGAAACCAATGCAGGGGCCAAGTCGCCCAGTACATGTATCACCACCCCCTTTCTTACTGAGACTCGAGGAGGACCTCAAGGGGACTAGTTAGCAGCTAGTTGGTCTCTGGGATTTGTTGGGAACTGGACCACTGAGACCCTACTGAAAGTGGGTGGTTTGAAGCTAATGTAGCCACTGAGCCTCACTTCCAAGGATGTACAGCCCTGCAGCAGAAATGGTCCCTTCCTAATAGCTGGCTTCCCCTGTACAATGGTGATGTCAGAGGCACAGTGGTACCAACTCATCTATGCAGACACCACCTTGTTGCACGTTCCAGCCAATGTTTTAACTCAAGTGTTTGCAGCTGTGATTGTGGTGGCTGCCCTCAGAGACTGAACAAACATGTGGCTGTTGGATGGGACACTTTGGTGTGTTAGCAGTGCATTTAGGAAGTGGGGTTGGCCTGGAATTGGTGGGCAGTGGCTAGAGCTTTCAGCCCTACCAGATATCTCCATGGGGGCATATTATCCATGCAGAGCTTTTGGAAGTTACCTTAAGCCAGGTGGCCTCTCATGTTAGCTGAGCCAAGAGGGCAGTGTATGGGGATAATGAACCTGCCTCCATGCCAGGGCAGCTCACACTAAACTGTGGGAATGGGAGTGGGTGGATCAATTTGTTAGTTTCTCTTTTGTAGCTAGAAGGCAAAGGAGCTCAAGGTCTCAGATATCAGCACTGGTTCTGTTTACCAAAAAGAAACCTAACCCTACTCCACTAAATATATTCTTTTTTTTCCTGAGGGGCACAGTCAATCTTCCTGTCCTGAGCATGGTCACAAAGCATCAGTTAAGACATCTAGCCATGCCTGAGCTTGGAAATCAGAGCGCTTCCCCATTAAAGGAGTTGCTTCTCCTCTTCTAGGCTTCATTGGTGTCCTGTGCCCCTGTATGTTACAGTTGTCTGACACAGGATGAAGCTGGTGAAGAGGTGCAGTAACATAGGATCCAGCTTCTGTGATCTGTACCCAGGGATGGGGAAGAAAGTGGACAACCCACTTACCTCACAGGTTACACTGATGTACTTCTGTGAGAACTTCCATTCACAAGTATTTCCAGTATCACTAGGCTACAGACATGGCCTTGAGTGATATCAGCAAGCAGTCTGCAGATACTGTCCAGAGCACAGATCCTGTCCCTGCTGGCTTTGCTGGATGCCAGCCTACAATCAGCAGTAGTTCCTGTTTGAAGTTGTCCCTGGCTTTGCCAGGGGATAGAAGGCTTGGGTTAATCCTGGGTGACAATTGTTTTAGTAAATCCATTTTTAAAAGAGGACTTGTTTTTACTTTTTTCTAAATGTCTCAGACTACTGACTTGTTCTATAAATAGATTATTTTTCTTTGATTTTTTTATACTTACCACTGTTACCAGCAGCACAGAGACAGAAGTTCACAAAGGAAAAACCTGCCCATGGGCTTGGGTTTTTTTTACTCCATTCCTTCCTTGTAGTACAAGGAATTAGCAGTTACCTTCCGCATCCTAGCCAGACCAGCTGCCTGTGTTTAAATAGGTAAATACATTTCATGTGCTACCTTCGTGTTTGGGTTTGTTCATGTTAGTGGGGCACCTGGGTCCTTGCTGACGCTAGTCTTTGCTGGCTTTATGTATGTGAATGTCTGAAGCCGGCCACTGTGCCGTCTCGCCCCTTTTCCTATTGTGTTTCCATTCTTTTGCAGTTCTAGGAGTGTTGTAAGTAGTGTCCAGTCTTACTAGAAGCTGGGCTGGGATTTAAAAAAATATTGACGAAAATGAGTGTTCTGTCTTGACTCTTCCTTGTCCCTTTTCTTGAACTCTAATATTAAAGAGGGTTTTTCAGCTGACTCAGATACCAGACAACATTTTCCAGCCAAAAACTGTAACTAGAAAGTCCAACTTGGCATACTTCCTTTACGTTAGTTTCCCCACATTGTTTGTCTGTGCCCAACACCTGGGAAGCGATGATTAACATGCTTTAAAGGAAGAGACCTGTACCGTTAGCCACAGGAAAAGAGGCTTAGGCACCAGTGGAGAAGGTAGAATGTCAGGAGGCTTGACTATCTACCCAGGAGTGAGAAATTGACTTACAGTGGTAAGCCATAATTTCAGCTGCTTGCAGATTTAGTTCAGTAACTATATCCAGTAGATGAAATTGTTGCCTGGGAGTAATGTTGACAGAGCATCTTATTCCCATTTATATACATATATAGCAATCTTCCATGCAACTGGGCACTCGCTGTTATTTGTTTCAAATTTATAAATATCCGTCTTAGCATACCTTTGATTTTGATAAACCAGTAAGAAAGTCTTACCTTCTTTTACATGTCAAAGGTTAATATATTCTGCCTTTTCTTATTGGAGGCTGTGTTTAGTCTTCTCCTGTGGAGGAGACAGAGGACCCACTGGCTTCAGAGGTGAATGCTCCTGTAAGAAATCTGAAGAATGCAAAAGACTGGAATTCTTTCATAACTCCTAAAATACATAACTTAGTGAGGGGAAAAACAGGATTTGAATTTCCTCTTAATTCAGTAATTTGAACAGGCTTTGGCTTTGTGGAGGCAGTTCTCTACACACTTTCCTTGTGAAGAGAACCCATAAGGAAATTGTTAACAAATAATAAATGTCCACAGTTCCCTGAATCGAGGTGAGAATCCTGGTGCCTTCCAAAGTGTGCAGGGAGCATCGAGGAAAAAGCTTCCAGCTAAAGATGCACTATTCAGTCACTCTTAACTATTCCTTACAAAGGGAGAGAACTGGAAACAGCTAAAAGGTGTGGGCAGGTATTGAAATTGGACTATTTGAATCAATCATCTTCATGTTACCACTTTGAAAGGCTGGTATACTTTTTACTTTCTGAGAAGCCTTGCTGACTTTGTTTACTGATGTGCAGTTTCATTTCAAGTAAGCTTTTTCAAAAACAATATAGAGGCCCATAACTAATTTTACATCTTAATGTGTTCTCTTTGTTTAAAAAATAAAACATAACCCCTCTCAAAAGGTGACTGATAGTTTAAGATTCCCACAATCCTGATTTAAATATTAATACTTTTGGAAAGCTTACGGAAAAAGCAGCAATGATAAAATGCTATTAAAAAACACAGATCCTTAGTTGCTTAACAGCAAAACTAAAACAAATGAAGCAAAACATATCTTCTTAAACTTCCAAAATGTTTCAGATGTGGTGAATCTCACCTGTAATAACAAGTCTTATACATTATGTGCAAAATATATCATCTGCTGTATCCACATTTCTCAATAATCCCATATTGCACTCTGCAAAAGAAGATAATCATAATTTGTGGAGTTCATCTTCATGAGACACTCTTTTTCATAAAACCTGAGAGAAACATCCAGTGCCTAGCTACCAGATGGAAGACACTCCCAGAGAGCTTAGCAGGTATTCAAAAAGCATTAGTATTAATGTGGTTAATGAAAGTACCTACTGCTAGCTAAATGGGTATACACGTTGGATGTATACACTTAGGTTTCATCTGGAACTCTAAAACCTCATGCTTCATAGCACAAATTAACTTAGCAGTTTGGAAGTTCTGTGCAAAGGTTATTCCATAATTCCCACCAGAAATTTTTGCACTTTTCTTTATACAGGCTTCAGTGATGGGGAATTGCTTTCCCCATTGCTGAATTATAGCCACATGTAGGCTCCCATAGCAGCTGTTTGATAGCTTATGACAAGACTGCACAGCTGTTCAGGTCAAAAAGTCAAGAATACAGTATCCTATTGATACTCAACTGATTTTTAGGATTTTTGTATGAAGTTACTAGAATCTTTTAAGACTACTGGGTTAATTTATGGGCAATGGGTTTGGGTGATAAAAACCAACACTGGTCAGCATTTTTGTTGCAGATCTCATTCAAAAGATGATGCTTTCTCACTCTGCTCATTTAGTTTTGTTAACTATAAAGGAATAATTGCTATCTGCTAAATTCACAAACAGTTTTTTTGCAGCAGTTTTTCCGTGTACAGCCTCAGCGTGATTGTTTAGAAAGGCCAAGTCAACAGTAAAATATGTAATAGCTTTACCTATTATAACCATTTTAGATAGGTAAACTGATGGAGAATGAACTAGAAAATGTCCAGACCCTTCTTCATATGCACAGTAAGTAGTTACTAGGCAGCTTTCTGCCCTTTGCCCTGTATAATAGAACCAGCCTTCCAAGATAAATGCCAGTTGTGGCTAGGCTAGAGCCATCTCTCTTGTCAGCAGGTGAGTTCTTCAAGGTTACTAGTAAAGGAATGCATAGTAAAAAGAACCCCCAACCCCACCCCAAGTATCAGCAACGTGGAGAACATGCTACTTTTTCTTCCTGCATGTGGGGGTTTGAATTTTAGTTGTCTGTACATGTTAAAAGGAGGGATGAGAACTGTTTGTTCATTTTCCATATTGTAAATTATAGATGGATATATTTTTTTGAAGTCAGTTTCATAACATTTTATTTGGATACAGAAGTGTCCATAAGTGACCCATTATAAACACAATTAAGACCACCTTTAATTAGAGAAAGAGATGAAAATGGGAAGGAGCAAGGTCCATCAGATCACACTAATTTGCAGCCACAAGCAGTAATGTAAGTAGAAGTGGGTGAGCAGGCACAAGCCCCAGGCACTGACTAAGGGGGTGCTGGAATGGATGCAGCTATGGGTTGTGTAGAGTGGGGCTAGGAGCCAGGTCATGATGCAGGGAGGCTTTAGGGTCCTGGTAGCTATGTGCTGGGTAGGAAAAAGCAGGGGGTGAAAATGGGAAGAGAGGTGCACCGATTTTAGTGGTTTTGCTGCTTTGCTCAGCATGATGACGTTCAGTGGCACCTGCTTTTGGGGGGTGGGGGCTATGAAAGGCTTAATTCCTGGCTGGAGGGCACCTTCTCCATTGGTACTGGGACCCTAGAGCCCTGAATCTTGACCTTCTGGATCCTGGATAGCAGCTAAAGCCCATAGCTGCCCAGAACCCAAACTACCAGATACATGCCTCTGCTTCCTCTTTCCTTCCTAGTTCTCACTCAGGTGCCAAAGGAGTCCAGTAAGTCTACCTGAGCCAAACATGATCTTCATTTGGAATACCAACAGTCATATTTTAACAGTACCAGACGGGGAGGAGTGAAAAATGGACAAGACAGCTGCAAACTTCATGGCTAAAGTTCAGTACAAATTACTGTAAAGTTACATGACAAGGGTAATGAAACAAATAGGAATACTTCAGGGAACGGCAAGTCTGTTTCTAATTAGACATACGAAGGGAGGCCCCTAGTTTGTTTGTTTTTTATGAAACAGCCTTTAGTCCACAAAAGCCATTGGTAATCCCAATAAAAATCAACTTCCTTTCTCCGATGAGAGCTTGTCCATAAACATACTTTCACTCTGGGAGGCATGTGCCCTTCCCCTCCCTGGGGCTTCTCCCATCTCTGTACTCTCACCCGCACTGGGGCCTTGCTCTGCGCCCTTGTAGCCCGCACTGGGGCCTTTCTTGTCTATACACCC